ATTGTGAGGTGTTGAAGCCATTTGTAGCTTTATAGGATTCGAAGTCTGTTTGTTAAGATTCGAATATATGTATTTCATAAAGGTGGCTTAGTTTACGAAGCTTTCATGTTTATGCCCTTATGTACTTTTTGCTTTCTTCTGTTATTCCTATAAATAGGGATAGATGCTAGAGTTAGAGTAACTTTTGGGCATTTCGTGTTCTTACTCTTTCAAACTCTTGTAACCTTCAGAAGAATTAATTGAACCATCCAGATTATATTTACTCATTGTGTTCTAGATTCGATTCAAACTCTGATTTCATTTCTTTTACTCGATCAACACGAACTACAATATTGCAATATGTTCTGACACAATGTTATCATAAAGAAATATGTTGTCTAAAATATTGTCATGAACCCTATAAATCTTTATTCAGAAAACTAAAACGAAAAAAGACTTTTTTTTCATGTTTCTGTACATTCAACTTTGTAAATTTATGGAAAAAGTTATGATTTGGATCTTGTTTTTCTTCTAAGGTTTCGGAAGGAGCTTGGATTGCTAGGTCTTCAAGAATCTTCATTATTGATCAAACCTATAGTAGAAGCAGTCAAGGTATGTTACTCAATGTTTGAATTTTGTGTATCAAAAGAGGTGTATCCTAGAAACTGAAGAGGTGTATCACAAAATGTATATCAAAGGAGAAATTACAAGTTCATTAATCAGACTTTAACATGAATGGAGCTCGAAACCTTCCAATTATTGATAACTTTTGGTGGGTCTTTTACAAAACCGTTTAAAATCTAGAAAATGTGTGGATTTTTAGTTTAAAATAATGATTTTATTAATAGTTTTGAAAGAATATTAAATATAAGGGTGTTGTCTGAGTTTTCTATGTGTATAATAAATTTTTGATCTAGGTTGTTGGTTCTTTGGATATAGGCTTCTACCGCTTTGGTGAATTCATGTAATGTAGGTATTGAAAGTTGGAGTCAATTGCTATGTGTTTCTTGACCATAAAATTGGATTTTTTTTAATCCAAATTAAGGAAATTAAATATTGTATGGATCTTTATTGAGCTCTAATCACTGCGTTTAGCAATGAATTTTGGTTCATGAAGCTAACATACAGCTATGGAGCCTCATGAACCTCGTTTTCAAATCTTGACTACCGTGTACTTCACGTAATGCCCCTTTCATTAAGCTTCATTTTGGTAGGGTTTTGCTACAATTGGAGTTCATTTCCATCAATTCTGGATTTTGGGTACAATGAGTATGAAATTCATTTGTATTGGATATTAGCTTGTTAAACATTTTTTAAAGTGGTTTTGATGAAGGAGATTCAACAGATAGATTAATAGCTCTTCTAAAACCAACACTGAAAAGAGTAGTAGCTGGTATAACACTTGGAATGGGAATTCTCTTGGTCCTGAAGGTCAAGTGTTGAGATTGGTGCATCAATGGCTAAGGGAGTTGGTTCATTGTTTGACAAAGTTTCTGAAAGAGAACCTTGGTCTTGTTTGTTTATTCAAAGCGAAAACGTCAGAAATCTACATACCACATCTGCAATCCTTTGCAGCAAAATAGGTGGATCAAACAGCCACAACCAATAATAAGAAGTTTGTTTATTTTTTAACGTCTACAGACTGCTACAATAAAACTAAAATTTAAATAAGCTTATTTTACAAACTTAAAATAGTTTCAAATTATAATAATTGTTTTGAGAATACACATCCTGGACCATATATTACAAGTGAGATCTTTTTTTGTTAAACATATAATATTCATTTATTTAAATTATATTTAATTTTGTGATTGTTAACCAAATTGTTGGTTAACATATAAGATATGTCACGTGTTTAGAGTAAATATAGAAGTTATTTTAGTGACACTATTTATCTACATCACATAGAATAAAACCAATTCAAAATGTTTATAAAAAATAAATAACATAATAATTCCTAAATAATAATAAGTTAAATTGTTAATTTGGCAAACATGTTCATTTTGTTAAATTTTCCAAAACGATAGTTATTTCTTCGGTTAGCTTTCAATAAATTTAGTAATTTTAGTGATTAATTTTATAATTTATTAATATTTGGTTATAAACCATTTATCAAAAAAAACAATTATATGAAATTTACCAAACGATTTTGAAATTATGTAAAATATATTTGAATTATTTATAATATCCTTCATAGTATTATTAAAATAATAAACATGTTATTGAAAAAAAACAATTCTATATTGAATAATATAACTTAAAGTAAGGAGGGTTCAGTGTTGCGCCACACAACATACTTGCAACAACTTTTAAGTCATAAGTCTTTATAAAAAATAGCTACGAAATGCCATGTTTTGCACATGTTCTGCACGGTATAGCCAGAAGTTGTCAAAAGTAGGTTTTTAGAAAAACAAACAACCCCTTTCTCTTCAAGTTGCAGGCTCAACTTTTGGAATTTAATCTGGTTACTGCTACTTTTATGTGATCTATTTGTCAATATGCTTATAGTGTGACTTATGGGATATCATTTAAGGGTTCGATATTTTGTTGTTGCTGGATATTTTTTTCTTTTGTGCTAGTGTTATGGCCATCATCCGCTATGTCATCATTATCATCGACATATACAACATAAATAATTCTTAGTGTTGTGATAGCCTCTGTAGTCTTAAAAATTGGTATTGGATATGAACCTGCCTTTAGTGTTCTGGAGTATGATTTTCATTCAACAACCAATATATTTTCATTTCTTTAACTTACTAGCTAGATGTTTTAAATGTTTTTTCTATGCTAGGTAATCGTAATTGACCCTTGAATCTAACATCTTCTCCAACTTTACAACTGAATTTTTTAGTTCTCATGTATCAATAGGCATATTAGTTGGACTAGGGTGAGAAATGTCCAACAATAGTGTTGTACAATTTGCATTTGTTATAATTTTATTACCCCAAAAGTTAATATATTATAAGTCTTAAAAACACTCATAACATAAATATTAAAATACATTATTCACTAATTACTTGTACCTTTATTTTGTTTCAGATGTTCCATTATACCTTTTGTTAGGTATCTTTTGTGGCTTTTACATCTAACAAATGTTAAATTCTAAGTCTAATTCTTGCTTCCTCTGGAATCACTTAAATTTGGTTGCTTTAATTAATTCTCTAGGGTCGTGATTATCACGGCCCTCATTATTTTTCCATATATATATATATATATAATAAGATATATATAGATATATAATATATATATATATATATATTATATATTTCTTGAATTTTAAAAGGTAGAATAAAAATTAACATAATGTACAAACTTTTATTGTAAACGATAACGTAAGTAATCTATAAAAAGATATTAAAATTTTGTACAACTATGGCATGGAGTGGTGGAATGCACCGTGTTCTTTCTCAGTTAACCTCATATACCATCATAACCGACCTTGTTGAATCTACATCATTTTGTAGCTTATTCCAGTTCCATTTATATTCAAGCTATACAATCAATCATTATGAAAGTTGTTTGATTTTCTATGGTATGAAATTGGTGCAATAGGCCATTCCTGCAAAAGAAATTACCATGGCTACTGGTTCTGTACTCTTTGTCCCCAAGTTCTTTTCTTATTTCGTTTTCTTTTATCATTATAATTATCGATCATATGTTTTAAATGATATTCTTTTTCTATTTTCTAAGAACATTTATGATTTTTTATATGATTATCTAAATGATCTCCACCTTAAAACTTTTGGATGAAATATTTATTTTTATTACTAGATTTTAAGTGTTTTGGGTATACATTTGATGTCAGCGTTGAAAGATTGTGTCAAAAATATATTTTTAATTTTATATCAGAGACAGAGACAATGAATCATTCTTATCTAATTTGTCATGTTGTTGACCATGACATTAAACAATTATGAAAATAAATAGTATAACTATTTTAATTTTTATATATAATTAAATAGCTTAACTACTTAAAAAATACGGTGTGATTTTTTTATAAAGATCAATAGGATCTAAAATAAAATTATATCAAACTTTTAAATAATTAAGACATGGCTCTAAATTCTCATAATTAACATGTCACTTATTAGATCAAGTAGAGCTCCATATATTTTTTGATTTTCATGCATAACTAATATACGATTGCATTTTTTTATTACAATAATTAATTATTTGTCTTTAGAAAAATGATTTAATATATTTTCAATGTTAACGAAGTATAATATTATAAAATTTAGATATTCAGTGTTAGAGATAGGTTCAGGCGTTTAAAGTATTTATTGTGTTATTGTATGCATAAATGTGGACCAATCAAAATTAAATAATTAAATAAATAAATAAGGGTAATAAAGTAATTTTATAAATAACTTCCACAAATACTTCCTATAATTATGCTAGTTATTTTGACTTTGACCTAATTTCTTCTCATTCTTATATACGGTGTTCACTATCAAAAACCCTATTCCACCATAAAAAAACTTCCATCGACGACCACCCCCTCGATTTACAACGCCTCGCCAATTCCATTTAAGGTTTCTCCATTGCTAAAAAACCACGGCGGAGAGAACACTAACGACACATCATGATTCGAGATTCGAGATTTCTCCTCGTAGTACTGCTGGTGATGCGAGAGAACACGAGCGATCAAATCACGGAGATGTTCATCATCGGAGCTATGAGCAGAAGTTCGTAAATTCGATCGAAGCTTATCCAGGTAATGTTCCTGACGAACCAACCATCCTTGGAAAAAATTCTCGAACTCTCTTTCACTTGTGACGACTGTTCTTCGAGATTTGGGCAACATTGGTGAGAATCAGCCGATGAAATTAAAACCCTAGAAGGCGGTATCAATTGGAGATTTCAGTATGCTCAGAAATGGAATCGGCCGATGAAATTAAAACCCTAGAAGACGGTATCAATTGGGAAGTCGCATCTTGTATCCTACTCTCGTAAGAGGTTTTTTCTCCAAATCACTAGCTTTATTTTGCTTTAGTTCCATTAAATTTGCAGAATATGGCCAGCTAGAAGAGATATTGTCGCTTGTGCTTCGGTTTGCAGATTCTGGAGAAATACTGTAAAGCAAATCGTTAGAACACCTAAATAATGCGGATTAATCACATTCCCCATGTTGTTAAAACAGGTACTTTGATCAATCAATTAATCAATCATATTCAAATCTCAAATCAATTTTGTGTTCTAACTTCGATATGTTTGAATTACTTCGTTTTAGCCTGGATCGAGAAAGGATCTGATTCAATGCTTTATAAGGCGAGATAGAGCTACTTCGATATTCTAGTTGTATCTAGGCCTGAGCCCAGGTAAAAGAATGTGTTTTTTACTTTTTGCCTTTTTCTAGTTCAATGGACTAGTTATTTTTTTCCTGGTAGTAGCCAACAAGATCCAGTTACTTTGGATTGGATTGAATGTGTATTAGGGGCATATATTTTGTAACAAGTAGGGAATACACTGGTTTTTATTTTGTTTGATGTAAATCCTAGGGAAAACTATTACCCTCATTTGTGGTTCCTTAATAGCATTGAACTTGATAATTTGTTAAACGAAGGTTTTTCTAAGATGGAATCTGAGTCCACAATGAATTGTTAAAAGTGAAGGTAGTTTGTCACTATTTTCATATCAAATTTACTTCTTCTTATATTATAAAAATCAATTTGGTTCTGTAGATGATTCAATGGATGATATTGGTGAGATTCCAATTCTATTGGATTGGAATCACAAATTCCAATTCTGTTGGAATGAAATCATGAATTCTAATTCTGTTGGAATGGAGTATGTATATTTTCTCACTGATTTATGCATGTTCTACAATTCTTGGTTATTGGTTTTGGTGCAATTCACAAGTCCACATATTTTTCCAAAGGAATTTAGTTTTTTATTTTTCATTTGCTAATGCATTATTGGAATCTAAACTACAATTTGGTTTTGTTTTCACAGAAGTTGATGCTTGAAGAACGGACCACAAAATTGAAAGTGATTCTAAGCAACATTATTCTTTTAGAATGTATTAATGTCGTTCTTTGTTTTTATTCTTCAATGGTAATTCTTAACAATTGTTACCCGTATTCTATAAGAAATAATGTATTTTTTGTTTTTATTCTTCAATTGATTGTTCAAGAATTTGTTATTCTACAAGAAGTTTTTAAAGTCATGATCAAGAAATAGGTTCAAGAATATTTTTATTATTTATGGTTCAAGAATATTTTTATTTTTGAATATACTCATAAACATATTCTGGCAGAATGTCCGAATTAAAAGAATTATAATTCGTAAAATCGGATTTTTAAAATTAATAGAATCTATGATCCCTTAAAATATGCAATTTTCCTTTATTAATTCTATATTAATTAACTAAAATACCTTTGTAATTAATTTAGATGATATTTTTCAATTATATTTAATTCAATAATATATATTAATCATTTTCTTAAAATAAATAAAATTGATTGGCCCATATTTATGCATACAATAACACAATAATTACTTTGAATAGAATAACCTATTAACTACTTAAAAAATACGGTGTGATTTTTTTATAAAGATCAATAGGATCTAAAATAAAATTATATCAAACTTTTAAATAATTAAGACACGGCTCTAAATTCTCATAATTAACATGTCACTTATTAGATCAAGTATAGCTCCATATATTTTTTGATTTTCATGCATAACTAATATACGATTGCATTTTTTTATTACAATAATTAATTATTTGTCTTTAGAAAAATGCTTTAATATATTTTCAATGTTAACGAAGTATAATATTCTAAAATTTAGATATTCATTGTTATGAGCTACTTAATCAAGTAATACTTCTTACTAATGTGTTTATCTTTTAGACTTCATGATTTCAATTTATCTGT